GGGGGCAGTCTTGGTTCACTTACAGACCACAATACTAGGTGACACTTCTAAATATAAACCCTTTATACTGTAAAAATAATCCATACTTGTGCACCCCATTGTTTTTTTTTGAGTTTGTGAGTGTCGGATCCTTCCAGATGCCACCGTGTCTTGGTTGCCAACATGAGCTACTTGCAGACAGCTGTAGTCGTGTGACCCGGACTACTCCAAAGAGACTCTCTCTGTTGTTACAGCCATCTGCAAGCTGCTCCCGCTATCAGAAGCTGCTGCTCCCTGTCATTCCATAGCAGCGGTTCCTCCTCTACTGAGGCCCCATTCCTGCTACTTACTCTGAAAAAGTGGACTAAAAGTGACTCGGCCCAATCAGATTGTATTACTTTTGCAGGGAGCCCAAGTGCATGCAGCTCCAGAGAGACTCTTGTGTGCTATGGGGACTGCAGCTCTCGGCTGATTCTGCCAGAGCATTGTGCTGATAGCAGGACCTGCCTACCTGTAATGATTCCCTCTGGAGCGGTCTGTGCTGCATTAGGACAGCGCTTCCATTACAGCTGTCCACAAGTTGGTTCCCACTGTCAACCTCAGTGCTTAGCTGGGAGCTGCAAAATGGCATGGGGGTAGGAGCTGACACCTCCCAGAAGAGTTGAACCATTTGAGTCCCAAGTGCAATGGACAATGGCTATTTGTCTCAGTGCCACTTTAAAATGGCAAAATAAAAACAATGAAGCGCCACGGACTGTCAATCCCCAGTGGGAAATCCTCTCAGGCACATTGCAGGACGCTGCCCCAAAGAAGCCGGGAAAGCTAAGAATCTAGGAAGTAAGCACAAAAGGGGCGCCTTGACTCAGTGGCTCCTGCGGGTCCCAGTGGTCACATGTGCTGGAACAGGCAGCTGTCAGTAACAACCGACATCCAGCACCAAGCCCAGGAGCTGAATCAATCAGATCTTGCTAGGCAGCGCTCTACAGGAGCCCATGTAAGCAGCTCAGCGTAAACACAATGCTTAGAACTATGAGGCGAGTGCTTATCACTCACTTCATAGTTCTAGCCGACCTGTGACAATGAGACTGTCACAGGTCGGCTCAGTAGATCGGGAGGTGAGTGAACACATACCGGCGTTCGCTCACCTCTCAATCCTGTCACGGCTCTCTGCCGTGACAGGGGAGGGGCTGGATTCCCCCCTCCCCGCTCCGATCCGCCAGCGCTGACTGGCGGAACGGACGGGGGAGGGGGCGGGTACAGCTGGCTCTGCCTCTAGATAGGCAGAGCCAGCTGTCAGTCATGCAGCTGGGCGGATCTCGACATCGATGTCGGGATCTGCTCCAGCTGTGGCGTCTCAGTATACCGCGAGCTGTAGCTCCCTATATACTGAGCTTAGGGTAACGGGAGGACGCTAGTTTGTGTCCTCCCGTTACCCTAAGGAGAACTATGGGGAAAAGCCCTAACCCCATAGTTCTCCTTTAAGGCAGCAAAAGGCTCGGGGGACTCAAGTGGTTCTTTGCATTGCTCCTAATTAATAAAGGAATGATCAAATAAAAAATAATTGGGTACACAAGTATGTACAGTATTACGATTTTTAGCACGTCACATTTAGAAGTTTAATCTGGTGGCAGGGTCTCTTTTAAACACACACACACACACAAAAAAAAACCCCACACCACTCTGCATACAAAACTGCATGAAGAAGAACATTCAGGCCCACAAAGTAATAAACACAAATACAACATTTACACGACACGTACCACATGACTGCACTCCAGCTACACACAAGTGACACGTGAATGACGTTAAACGGATCACGCCACTGAAATAAAAAAACAACAACAACAACCCACAAATGGCACATGCTTAAATAAAAACAGAGGTCACCGATTGTACAAAATAAATCAATGTTTATTATAACATTTGTAGATAATAAAAAAAAAAAGAAAAACAGATAAACTGTATACTCAATGAAAACAGTAAGAGCTAATGGGGGAGAAGGTATGAGGGGAGCTGGAAGGAAAGAGAACGTGGATTCGGGGGGAATGGGAATAAGAGACATCGGGCGACAGACAGATGAAGTGATATGTGGCGTTATTATTCTAATATACTGGATGCTTGGTTGCTAGTCTGACTCCTCCACCCCTGTGTCAGGTTTCTGGTATCCCACCCTACTAACTCTGAAACAATCCCCCTCCGGTCTTCTTAGAATTGCAGTAGATCTTTACTCCACACATTACACAGTCAGTCATCATTACCTCTCAGGGGACCTCTTTCTTCTGCTCTCTCCTCACATCTTTGTTCTCTGGAGACGGGTGACACCGGGGGGCACGTGAAGCCAGTCACTTCCATTTTGTGGGCCACTTCCTTCTCCTCCGGGGTTTTAATGACACTAAAAGAAAGAGAAGTCCCTTCAGAGAGCTCCTCGAGGCTGGCATTCTGGAGAGGATGAGGCGCCCCCTTGACCTTTGAGGCTGGCGTTCCTGCCGGCGTGTCTGACCCTTCTTCCTGACCCATGTGGATACCTAGATCCGGGTCAGGGGTGAGTGTGGTTTGTGGCGACGTAGCTACATCGTCTGAGTGGGATTCCACTCCGGAACTGGAATCTTCATAGGTTCTAAGTTCTTCGGGAGTACTGGTCTCGCTACTGCTTTTTCCTGCCAGTTGGGGGTCACTTAGTGTGCTGCACACCGAGGCCCTTTCTCCTGCCTCCTCCTCCGCCTTAGGTTCCTCTTGGTTATCTCCCTCTTGATTTAGGCTGGCTGGCCTTTGTGGTTTATCTTCGGTCTCTTCCTTAAAATCAGCAAGTTCCTCTTTCTGCACAAGCACCCATTGTTCTTTCTCTGACTTCTGACAGGAGGCTCCGGAATCTACTGGTTCTGTAGGACGCATAGGCAAATCGGGTTTGTTATCAACCTCATGTTGGTTTTCACCTGATACAGCATGAATGGTTCCTTTGATCCCTTCATCTGAAAAGGTTATCGACTCTGCAGTAGTTACTGTGGCTTCTGCTGGGTTCACAGTTGGCTCTGAAAGAGAAAAAGCAGTGACAGCCTTGTCTTGCTGTAGATGATCATCACCTAGTAACACAATAGGCATGTTTGGCTCTCTTATGTTGGCTGTTGGAGAGTTGTCGAATTCAGTGTTATTTATAGATGGGCTCCATGCTTCTGCTGGATGTAGAACTTCTGGGGACTCTGTCTCAGCCAATGATATAAGTGGTAAATGTTGTGAATCTGCGGTATAGGCGAATGGCTCCACCTCTACCAACTCCTGTTCATTTGTGACCAAGTCTGCTAATGTTAGTCCAGTTTGATCTAATGGGTAACATGTTTCTATTCGTGTTGCCACATGCATAGTTATTACATCAATAGGTCCTTTCTGCTCCACCACAGGGGTCCTTCTTAAATCCTTAGCTTCCTTTTCCTCTTCTACAGGCACGGTAGTCATATCAATAGGTTCTATTTCCTCTTCCAAAGGCACAGTTATATGAGTAGGTTTATTTTCCTCTTCCATAGATATAGTTATTACATCAGTGGGTTCCTCTTCCTCTTCCACAGGCATAGTAATTATATCAATAGGTTCCTTTTCCTCTTCCACACATATAGTTATTACATCAGTAGGTTCCTCTTCATCTTCTACAGGCACAGTCATTATATCAATAGGTTCATTTTCCTTTTCCATATACATGGTTATTATATCAGTAGGTACCCTTTCCTCTTCCATAGGCGTAGTTATTAAATGAATAGAATCCTTTTGCTCTACCATGGGTATGGTTATTAAATTGATAGGTTCCTCTTGCTCCTCTACAGGTACAGTTACTAAATCATTGGGTTCATTTTCTTCTTCCATAGGCATAGTTATTAAATTGATAGGTTCCTCTTGCTCCTCCACAGGAACAGTTATTAAATCATTAGCTACCTTTTCTTCGTCTACAGGTACAGTTATTAAATCATTAGGTCCATTTCCCTCTTCCACGAGCATAGTTAATAAATCAGCAGGTTCCTTTTGCTCCACCACGGGCATAGTTACTAAGTTGATAGGCTCCCTTTGGTCTTCGAAGGTTTGACAGATTCCTGATTCTCCCAAGAGCTGTATGGTGGCAGTGTCCACAGGCTCCTGCATGCCAATATCATGGTCCTCCTCAGATTTCTTAGCAGTCTCAATTATAGTAATTGGCTCAAGCGATTCCAACAGGACATTACCCTGGTGAGTTGGTAAGCAATATGATGTAGAGATGCTATGTACTTGTCCTATTTCTGCACTCTCTGGGCATTCTGTGAATTGAGATGCTGTTATTTCTGCTGCCTGACACTCTGCAGCGACTGGGGCCATTACCAGATCCCCAGGTGATCCCATTAATTCACATATTGACGAAGCCGTAGCCTCTTCTGCATGATTTGCATGTTTCGGTGGCTCTAATGACGTTTTTGGTGCTTCCACTAAATAGCAATCTGACTCCAACAAGGCCATTTCAGACTGCTTCACAGATGCTAATGGTTCCTCTGGGAACAATATAGAGTTGACGCCGGGTTTCTCTAGAGTTATTGGAGGACACATATAATCGGTTTCAATTTCTGCTGAGTCCAGTTGTTTTCTCTCTGTATTAGGAGGCCCCGCTGGCTCTTTTACTGATGCGTGCGTCATATTTGCCGTTTTGTCAGACACCTTCAAGTCAGCAGAGTTGTCGTTAGTTTCTGCTTCATCCTTCCTTGTTTCAATCAATAGCTCTCCTGGCAATCGTTCAGAATACCGGTTTGTTCTATGGACACCTTCTTCACAATGTTCATCTGATTCCAACACAAAATCGCTACCAGTTTCTGATTCATACCCAGCTAGCTCTGTCGTAGAATTATCCTCATCATCTGGATAGTTTGCTAGAGATGGTTTGAATAACGCTGTCTCTTCTTGCGCCTTTGCAGGCTTGATGAGTTCTATTTCTGCGTCTTCTATGCGGCTTTCTGATGTTGACTGTACCTTGTGCTGTTGTGTGTCATCTTTAGAGCCCTCAAGACCCTCTAGATATGTAACTAACTCTAATAACATTACAGGAGAGTGTGATTGTTCTGGAAATGTTATTTTGCTTGTGAGATTTTCTTTATCATTATCTGCTGGTTTAGCTGGTGATTGTAGCAGTTCATCTAAAGTTTTGGCAGATTCTACTGGGAGGTTGACGCTTAGTTGTTCAGGTTCTTCTCTTACTATGGTCTCTTCCTGTAATTCTTCATCTGCTTCCACTGAACTAGTCATTACTCCTTCCGATGCCTTATCTAGGTCAGTTAAAGATTTCCTGTCTTCTCGATATAACTGTTCTGAGCTTAATATTTGTTCCTGCAAACTCTCATCTTCTGCTTTAGACAGTTCCATTTCTTCATCTGATGGAGTGACCTCCTCCATGGATGATGTCAACTGGATTTCTATGGGTTTGCAGAAATCTGAAGGCAGCGTTACAGATTGTTCTGAATATCTCAGTGAAGTGCTTCCTTTTTCTTTAAAAGTTGGGTTTGGTTCATCTACAAATCCTACTTCATCCTCTGATAGTTCTACTCCTTCCTCCAAAGGTGTGACCTGTTCCAAAGATGATGTCTGCATTTCCTCGGATGGTTCAGCATGCTCCACTGGGGAATATATTTCTTCCACTGAAGGTTTTCGTGGACACCCCTCTTCTTCCCCAAAGGCCGTGTCTTCATGCACACGAGGTGTTGCTTTTTCAAGAAGCTCCACTTCTTCTTTTGAGTGATGAGTACACTGCGCTGGGTCGTGCAGTTCTTCTTGTAAAATGATATCAATTTCAGATGAAAATGTTTCTTCTACATGTGAAGGTTCAGTGAATTCGACTGGGGATGGCAATTCTTTCTCTAACGATTCTTCTGGAGTTGGCACTTTGTTACTGAAATTACCGTCTGAATCCACCGGGCATGTTACGCTTTGCTCCAAAAATGTTACTGGTGTTTCCAGCTCTTCCACTAATGGCGGAATTGATTCTTCCTGTGATACCTCCACAGGGGTTTTCACTTTTTCCTCTGGCAGGTTTCTCTGATCCATCAACATTTCTGATAATTCCAAGGGAGGAGAACTCAATTCATGCTGCAGAGATTCCAGTGGAAGTTTCACTTCTTTCTCCGAGGGACTCGCTAGTTCTGTAAGTGTTTTTGTTAGTTCCAGAGAAGATGATGTTTCTTCTTGTAATGATCTCAGTGGAGACTGGATGTCTTTTTCCAAGGAGTTAACTGGTTCCAACAGTTCCTCTCTCGGTTCTTTAGATGGTTTAAGAGCTTCATGTGAAAGTTCAATTGTTCTATTAACTTCTGCTGGTGTTACCTTGTCTTCATCTGAAGGGCTTCTTACTGCGGCCAGATTTGAATGGATTCCTCCTTTTTTTATGTGGTTGTTGAGATCCTTCAAAGACTTCTCGCACTGATCCAAAGATCCTGACTGTTGCATCTCTGAATCTACGGGACATGATTCCGTTGGCAATTCAGTGGACACCACCGTGCAAGGCTCTAATGTTGATTGAGCATCACGTAATAGCCCTTCTGCTGATTCAGCAGTATTTTCTGGGACCTTGCTCTCGATAACTGGTGCAGGACATGTATCCTTTTGTTCTGCCTGAGCATGTATCACTTCAACAACATTTACATTCGTTTCAGAACTGTCCAGCTTTTGTGGATTAATCACCTGCTGGGACTCCGCAGTCTTGACTGGTTTGGGTACAGGACGCTTTTCATTCACAGGTTTACCAGTCGCTGTGGCTGGTTTAGATGTTGCAGATGAGCGGTTTGTTGGTTTATTTAGTGCAGAAGGCTGTTTAGTCTTTACAGTTGTTTGCTTTCCCAGCTTAGCTTGGTTGGCTGCAGATGGGCTGTTTAATGGTTTAACCAGAGGGGCCTTGCTTGATTTTGCTGGAGATGATGTGGCATTCATTGGATTACCTGCTGAAGTAGGAGTTGATGCTTTGGTTGGCACTGAAGTCAATCTTGGGGTCTTAGCCAAGGGAGAGGCGGTTTTAACTGCTTTAGTAATAGGCGAGGTTGTATTAGTCAACTTGGGTGATGAAGGTTTGATTTTAGCAGCTGGTAAAGGTGAAGTGGTAACAGGCTTATCTGGTGCAGGCACGCTCTTCGCTGGTTTATTCAGGGTTAATGGCATCTTCACGGGCTTTGTCGGGCTGGATGAAGACAATAGAGGTTTTGTTGGCCCAGACCCACTAATTCCTGGTTGAAGGCACAGCGTCTTATCTTTTGGCACTATCCCATGCTGCGTCAGTCTTCCCACGTCCTTTTTAGCAGCACCGTTCTGCCGTGTGGGTGTAGAGTTTCTTCCTTCGGCTTTAGGTTTGCCTGGCTGAGCACCCTCCACATTCTTCTTGCCAGCTTCGGCTTTTGAATCCGCCAGCAGCGGAGACTGCTGAGTCCCCTTATCCCTGGTCTGCTGGCGAGTTATTTGGCTCCCGGGAGGTTTGACTGGAGATGCTGGATCTGAAAGAGAAGAAGAGGGCTTACAAAAGGGGGATTTTGCAATGCTCGAGGAAAGAAAAGCCCAAGTATGATTGAACCTGTGCTCTGAAACAAACTGCACTGTCCATAGTCGGCAGAATTTCCTTTTCCACTTCATCTTGTGATACGGAAATGACCTGAGTTGGTTCCTATAGGCAACATAGGCACCATTTTTTATTTTGGGTCTATAATAACATTTTTCTTTTTTACATAACCTATATTACATGTTTCTTATTCATTGTTTACACCACAAAAAGCCATCTCTGCAATAACGATGGCTATGTATAGTTATGGCCACCTCTGATTAGGTATTTTAACCTCCGCACCGAATGCATGCAACTGTAGGGGCTCAATACCATTTCTAGTCTACACTCCTCCTTCATTTCAACATTTTGGCTCCATACAGGAAGTAAGAAGCCTCTTCCACTCCATGAGTGTGCTACAGGATCCGCAGCTTGTCTACCTATACCTATGACCCCACCATCATCCACAGTGGATTTGGGGGGGCATAAGGGACCAGTGGCGTAACTATAGCCATAGCGGCTGCTATGGGGCCTTGGGGCTGAAGGGGGCCCCATTAGGTTGTTTAGGCAAATTAAGAACATGAGAAGATAATACACTACCGTATGATTAAGGGTTGGAGTGGTTGCAGTTGATGACAACCCTAATCCCCCTGTAAAGTCTACAGTGTAGAGACAACTTCAGATACACAAGAAGAGTCTTTGGGATCTTGGCATCGTTACTTGCAGCTCATAGAGAGGTCATCAGGGGGTCCCATCACATTTTTGCTATGGGGCCCCGTGACCTGTAGTTACAACCCTGTAAGGGACAGTGGAAATTATGAATACTTACCTTTTTGTGTTAATGATCTGGGTTTGTTAGGAGAAGCAGCTGCTGTCCTGTAAAATAAAGAATACGCATTACAAAATAAATATGAAGCATAAACAAATAAATGGAGAATTGTCTACAGAATAGTGATATCTTCCTAATGGGAAGGAGCGGCTACATAAACTACTTTGGGTAAATTTCCCCATTGGAGTCTCTGCTTTTAAAAATGGTTGAAACTCGACTACAGATTGACACCTCAGTTTCACGTGGGCTTTATATACACTATATTGCCAAAAGTATTGGAACGCCTTTGCACGCACATGAACTTTAATGGCATCCCAGTCTTAGCCCGTAGGGTTTAATATTGAGTTGGCTCCGCCCTTTGCCGCTATAACAGCTTCCCCTCTTCTGGGAAAGGCATCCACAAGGTTGAGGATTGTGTCTATGGGAATGTTGGACCATTTGTGAGGTCAGGTACTGATGTTGGGGGAGAAGGCCGGGCTCGCAGACTCCGCTCTAATTCATCCCAAAGGTGTTCTATGGGGTTGAGGTCAGGACTCTGTGCAGGCCAGTCATGTTCCTCCCCCCCAAACTCCCCCACCCATGTCTTTATGGACCTTGCTTTGTGCACTGGTGCACGGTCATGTTGGAACAGGAAGGGGACATCCCCAAACTCTTCCCACAAAGTTGGGAGCATGAAATCATCCAAAATATCTTGGTGTGCTGATGCCTTAAGAGTTCCCTTCACTGGAACTAAGGGGCCAAGCCCAACCCCTGAAAAACACCCCCCCCCATAA